CACTGAGGAAATTTAAACTTAAATCCCTGAAAATATTCATTTTTAGGAGGAGGTTCACGAGATTTCACAATTTAGTGAAAGGGGTTCGCGGGCTGTTAAAGTTTGGGAACCACTGATCTAGACCAGGATCCTGTCTCCAACAGCAGTCGGCACCAGGTGTCTCTGAGGAAGATGCAGATCTCAGTGGCTCTGTCTTACACCACATAGTAAACCCAGGCTCAGGGTACGTCCAGACTACTCGCCGGATCGGCGGGTAGTGATCGATCTATTGGGGATCGATATATCGCGTCTCGTCTAGATGCGATATATCGACCCCGAACGCGCTCCCGTCTACTCCGGAACTCCACCAGGGCGAGCGGCGGTAGCGGAGTCAACGGGGGAGCCACGGCCATCGATCCCACGCTGTGAGGACGGGAGGTAAGTCAAAATAAGATACGTCGACTTCAGCTACGCTATTCCCGTTGCTGAAATTGCATATTTTTCATTGACACCCTCCCCCCAAGTGTAGACCAGGCCTCAGATTCAGGTTTAAGGCCGTACCCCTCTCTGGACCTCAGTTTCCACATCTCTAAAATGGGGTCAATGATACTTTGTAAAACACTTTGAGATCTAGTGATGGGAAACACTATATAAAAGTATTATTACTAATCCCTAATAGTTAAGATATCATTTTAAGCCTTGATCCATTTATTCCTTCCAAAATTCTATATTTGCATAACTATTACAATTCTGGCCCTTCTAGTTATCCATATAAATGTCCAACACCTTTTTTGAATCTTGCTACATTACTGGCCTCAAAAACACCATGTGGCAAGGAGTTCCATAGTCTAATTACATGTTGTGTGGAGAAATATTTATCGGTTTTGAATCTGATCTCTTTCCATTTCATTGACTCTCCTTGTTCTTGTGTTATGAGACAGGAAGAAAAGATGTTCCCGAACTATCTTCTCTGTCTCATTATTTTTATATCGCTTTATCCTATCCTTTTGTATTCATCTCCTTTCTAAAGTAAACAGCCCCATTCTTTTGATTCTTAATATAAGTTTTTCCAGGCCCTTGATCATTCTCATGGCCCTTCTCTGAACCCTTTCTGATACTGCAAAATCCTTTTTCAGATAGTGTGACCAGTACTGCACACAGTACTCTAGGTGAAGGAAAATTATCAGTTGATATAAAGACAATATAAATGTTACCATATTATTCCTCCCGTCCTTAACTATGTGGTTAGGGTATTTTCAGAAATCTAAACCCCTAGTTTATAGCTTAACTCTGTCTTTGAGTCAGGATTGAATTGCCTGATATGTCCCTAACCTCAGTATAATTTTGTGGAAAAGATCCATGTTTGCAGAAGGTTCCCTCTGACCCCGGCCAGTTGTGAATATTTATTCTTTGAAGCTGGTGCAAATGCTGGGAATATTAGAAGTGGTCCTGCTGGAGATGGATTAGTGGGTGGAATTCAGGTGTCATGAAGGGTCAAAATAATTAGTTGTAGGCCTGGGATGATTCCATTTCAATTTTTTTTAGCATTTCAAAGATATGTTTATTTTTAAGCATCCATTCCACATTCATCTATTTAAAGTTTCACGGTTGCACTTACTTATGGGATTTAAGCCTTTTTTTTTTCTTTTTTCTTTTATCAGTTTAAATGTTCACAGTTGTGGGAAATTGGAGGGGGTGTCAGACAATTTTTTAATGACAGTAGATGGTGAGATTCAAACAGTTAAAGCTTTATATCTCTTAACACACAAAATTGTTAACATTTCATGTCAAAATATTCACAGTAAATATCCTTAAATCAAATTCTAAGTTTTCAAACAGAATTTTTCCTTCTTTGCCTATCTGTAAATTTCAATTATCAGTTTGTGTGTACAGTGAAACTACATTGACCAACATTTAATAGATAAAAATCGTATCCTTCCAAGACTAAATACTTGTTCTGTTGCTCTCCTATGCATAACATAGTTCCAAACATTATACACAAATAGTATGGATGAAATATGTAATGTGTATTTGTGTGCACATTTTTAACACCAAATAATGATCAGAAAAGAGCTGACAGTAAGGCTGCTCGGACATAAATAGTTCAAATGCATATTGTCTTTCCACAATGCTAGACTTAAAGTCTAACCCCACTCAAACACTAGCAGTGTCACAAATTTTCATGATTTTATCTTTAACTCATATGGGTTTTTTTTTTACACAGACCCTGTTCCCAGACGCATCCAATTATGTACAAAGAAGCTTTCTTGGAGGGGGGGAGATTAGATTTCATTGTTGTGGAGAACAGATTGAATGTGTGATCTGAGTATGGACCTAAAGGCTCAAAATGAGGAAGCAAATAAACACTTCAAATTTATTTTTATTATTATTTTAATTTTAAGACAATTTCATGATTTTTGAACACTTTTGTACACTAATATAGTATTAGAAATCCAAATCTATGCTTAATTTTATAACAAACATGGACATTTTATAGTGTACATATTCACTGGCAAGGCAAGCAAAACTATCTTAACTCTGCCCTCAAAACAATATTCAATAATATTTCCCCACCTAATAGTTTTCTTAGGGTCACGCACCCCTCTAATTTCCCACAGCTGTGAAAATTTAAATAGATTAATATTGAATAAAAGCTTAAACCTAAACATTGATATTAGTATTCCCAATTCCTGCCATAAAAAGGAGCTGGGAAGGGGGAATGACATTTTTTTTTTCATACAAATATTCAGATTCATTTTTCTTCCACTGGTTTTGAAAATGAAAGATTCATTCATTCAAAGTGTCTTGATCCTATTTCCAGGGGTGGCCAACCTGAGCCTGAGAAGGAGCCAGAATTTACCAATGTACATTGCCAAAGAGCCACAGTAATACATCAGCAGCCCCCCCATTAGCTCCCCCACCCCGCTCCCAGGGCTCCCACCAGTAGCGTAACTAGTGGGGTGCAGGGGAAGCAGCTGCTTCCCCCAGCACATTTTTGAAAAGCGGCGCCTTAGGGGTTACCTTATATGGCGCCAGCGGGTGGGGCCTGCTCCTCTCTGAAGGGCAGCACGGCCAGAGGAGAGCACGAGGAGGGGGGGGCGGCGGGCGCGTCCGGAGGAGCACGCCAGGTGGCCAGGTAGAGAGCAGGGGACGGGCTGTGCTGCTGGGCCCATTCGGGTCCGGAGCGCTCGGGCCGGGGGGAGCATGTGCGGCGGCTGGGCTGGGCGCGTGCCGCCCGGCAATAGGGGGGCCGGGCCATCGGGAGAAGCAGCGAGGGGGGAGGAGGCTGGGTGCCTCGGCAGCAGCCTTGAGGGAAAGGCTCCGTTTGGCTGGGGCAGGCGGGTGGCCGCTTGCTGCTCAGCCTGCCGAGCTGCGAGCCCCGGCCCGGCAGGCACCGGGCACCGGCAGCAGAGGGGCGGGGGAAGGGCTGGCCAGGGACAATGGCAGGAGGGATGAGATGGGGGGGGAGGGGCGTGGGAGAGGAGCTGGGTGGGCGCGGAGCAGCCGGAGGAGGAGCCAAGGGGGGGCATGGCCAGAGGAGGCGCCAAAGGGGGGCGCCTTTTTTATGTTTGCTCCCCCTGCTCTTAAAACCTGGCTATGCCACTGGCTCCCACCCACTGGCAGCCCCACCGATCAGCACCTCCCAATCCCTCCCTGCACTTCCCGATCAGCTGTTTTGTGGAGTGTAGGAGGCTCTGGGGGGGAGGGGAAGGGGGAGGAGCAAGGGCACAGCAGGCTCAGGGGAGGGGGCGGGAAGGGACGGAGTGGGGGCAGGGCCTGTGGTAGACCCAGGGGTTGAGCAGTGAGCACCCCTGTTAGGATATAGATATTCAGGCCTGTCTGCAAAGGCCTATACTTTAAGAATTTAGGTGTATTCTTATCACTAAGCTAGTTATAGAGGTATAAAAGAAACACTGGCAGACAGTGATTTTGAGTCTAAGGGCCTTTTCTTTGGGCTGGTCCACACTAACCCCCCAGTTTGAACTAAGATACGCAACTTCAGCTACGTGAATAACGTAGCTGAAGTCGAAGTACCTTAGTTTGAACTACAAGGTACTTACCGCGGGTCCACACGCGGCAGGCAGGCTCTCCCATCGACTCCGCTTACTCCTCTCGTGG